CCCTATAGAGTCCTTGCAAACACGTGACCTAAATCACGTGATACCTACGCCCGCCGCCACAGTGGTGTACATCAGACGTAAACACAATCAGCTGTTCACCAGCGCTGGACGTGTTCACCAGCGCTGGACGTGTTCACCGAATGTAAAGAACCGCACCCGCGGAAAGGGAAAAATATGTTTAAAAACTTGAACTCTTAGGAATTGAAGATCCTTATACTGTTATTGACAGTTTCGTGGATAATATAAATATGTAGCCAAAATTTCTAAATAAAAATACTGTTAGTAATACCGTTTGCGTTTAGAGTTTAAGTAGACGAATCTGATCAAATGAAGTAATATATTATAGGTTATCTACTGTAGCAAACGTGAGACCACTTAACTCCTACAAAACCCACACTACAACGACTAATATAATCCATGGGTAATAACCAATCGGGGTAGCATGTTATACAATTTAAGACCTTATAATCCAGCAGGGAAGTGATCAGACACATTAATACTGATGTTCAACCCTCATGGTGGCTGCCCCCACCTGTATCTAGCCCACAATAAAACCAAAGAGGAGTCTGCCCTGCCCTCCCATGAAAATGTCTCACCTCCGTGATACCCAGCCTCACAGAGATAGTATTTCTTATATAATTTTGACCCTCAGGGCCCAGCAGGGAGAACAAAGGGGAAAGTCCCACTGCTCTCCCCTCAACATTTCTCACCTCGATGTTATGTTATGTCATTTATAGCACACATGGCTTATCAGGGGAAAGCATTAAGGCATTAAGAATCTTAACTCTGGACAGCTACACACTAGTATACTAGCTACACACTAGGTGCCTACTGTAAACTACTAGACTGTAGGCCCTATGTAGACCTGCAATTGTATCAATTGTAGACTGGGTCCAATGTTATTATTCTAAACCATCTCACTTATAATGTTTCTAGCTTGATTTGTTTCTTTTATAAACAGTGGATTTAAAAAAAATTTAGCCTAATCATTAACCAAATAATAATAACGTGGTTATTTGTTGTTGGCTGGTATGATCTAGATTGTACTACTAGGCTACAAAAACTTAGTAGACCAATTACTAGATATGAATTTGAATTTAATTAAACTCAGTCCAGTATCAGATACATATTGCTGTAAAAAGACAACAAAGTAGGTAGGCCTTAGTAATTTATTAAAGCCTTCTACTACAGTAATATCAACTACATGCTTGTATAAAGTTTTTACAATTTAATTTAAGTAGCAGATTCTAGATCTAAGTCTAGTCATACAATCTATTTCAATTTCAGAAAATTTCGTTTGCTAAAAAAAATGATTAGATTATAGAGCGAGAATTTAGATCTTAGAGACAATTAAATGCTTTATTAGGCCTATAATAGTATTATGACTACTTTTGATTTATTATGGGTGTAGATCGAATCGAATATAGATCTAAATTTTGTAATTAAATTTAAGTAAAGAAGTAGATTCTAGATTCTATGTCTACCCAGTGGAGTCAGTCACCCTAAATCCAGAATCTAGATCTGTGGTCCGAATTTTGTTTACGCCATGTTTAGAGCTATATTCTAGATCTAGATATTAAAACACTATTATTAGGCCTACTATTAGATCTTATTCTTCTTATTATTACTTTTGACTTTGTCTTTTATTAATAGTTATCTTTTATAATTAAAATGAAGTTTATTATTTTACTGTCCTTACCCGAAACAAAGTATCGAGAACTGCATTTGATCAGATTCGTCTACTTAAACTCTAAACGCAAACAGTATTACTAACAGTATTTTTATTTAGAAATTTTGGCCACATATTTATATTATCTACGAAACTGTCAATAACAGTATAAGGATCTTCAATTCCTTAGAGTTCAAGTTTTTTAACATATTTTTCCCTTTCCGCGGGTGCGGTTCTTTACATACGGTGAACACGTCCAGCGCTGGTGAACACGTCCAGCGCTGGTGAACAGCTGATTGTGTTTACGTCTGGTGTACACCACTGTGGCGGCGGGCGTAGGTATCACGAACGGACGTGACGTCATATGAAAGGACTCTATAGCCGTCGCTAATTCGGCCCGTCTCTAAGATTCTAAACATTCGGCGTGAACCATAGCTCACCAGACTGGTGGGGGTGGTGGCTATATGGTTTATGGCGCATGCCTGGAGAGCGAGGGAGGGGGCGGGGCGGGTTGGAGGTAGCCGGCAGTCTATCAAATGTTGGAGGTAGCCACCAGTCAAATGTTGGAGGTAGCCACCAGTCTATCATAGTTGGAGGTAGCCACCAGTCTATCATAGTTGGAGGTAGCCACCAGTCAAATGTTGGAGGTAGCCACCAGTCTATCATAGTTGGAGGTAGCCACCAGTCAAATGTTGGAGGTAGCCACCAGTCTATCATAGTTGGAGGTAGCCACCAGTCAAATGTTGGAGGTAGCCACCAGTCTATCATAGTTGGAGGTAGCCACCAGTCAAATGTTGGAGGTAGCCACCAGTCTATCATAGTTGGAGGTAGCCACCAGTCAAATGTTGGAGGTAGCCACCAGTCTATCATAGTTGGAGGTAGCCACCAGTCTATCATAGTTGGAGGTAGCCACCAGTCAAATGTTGGAGGTAGCCACCAGTCAAATGTTGGAGGTAGCCACCAGTCTATCATAGTTGGAGGTAGCCACCAGTCTATCATAGTTGGAGGTAGCCACCAGTCAAATGTTGGAGGTAGCCACCAGTCTATCATAGTTGGAGGTAGCCACCAGTCTATCATAGTTGGAGGTAGCCACCAGTCTATCATAGTTGGAGGTAGCCACCAGTCAAATGTTGGAGGTAGCCACCAGTCAAATGTTGGAGGTAGCCACCAGTCTATCATAGTTGGAGGTAGCCACCAGTCAAATGTTGGAGGTAGCCACCAGTCAAATGTTGGAGGTAGCCACCAGTCTATCATAGTTGGAGGTAGCCACCAGTCAAATCTTGGAGGTAGCCACCAGTCCATCAAATGTTTTGATATTACCGTGGACGGGCGAATGGACTTAATAGAATAAACCGGGAGTTATCTCCCCTAAACTTTCTCGAATATTCTAATATAACACTACGTGGGATGGCAACTCGGAATATAGACTTGATTTTTGTTTACTTAAACTTTTAACAATATAATAGAATCTAGTAGAAAAAAAAATTGCGCACCAAGCGAACGTCAAAACAAAATGTGCATAATAGTGCGTAATATTATTAGTACTTAATTTACATGCGTTTTTTTTGAGAAATCGAAAATAGCGTAAATTAGTACTTCCGGTCAACGGAAATTACTCAAAATTTGACAGAAGGTAGAGAATTAGATCTTTTACTTGTGAAATTTCATTTATCTGAAATGGTACTCAATTTATAGGCTTTTGAAAAGTTCAAAGTAGAAAAAGTACCACTTCCGGTTATCGGAAATCGCTCAAAAGTTGATACAGATCTACGATTTTTTATTAAAAAAATATGAAATTTCATTAACCTAGCTGTAACGGGTCGGCGTGGTCGAGTCGGTAAAGCTCATGGTTGCTAAACCGAAAAGTCTCGAGTTCAAACCCTCGGGCAGATGAGGCTCGTTAGCTGGGGACAGCAACTCTTCTAGGAGAGACACTCCAAAATCAAACAACTGCTGCCTTGTAGTTTGTTCTTGGTTGGACAAAGGCTATGGAAGCAAATCCAAAAAGAAAAGCAGGCTGAAATCGGAGTCAATGGCCTCAGTGGCGCAAAACTAATTGACACGTAATCCTTAATTGTGATGGAAGCATGGTCGAGTAGACAAAGCTCATGGTTGATAAATTCGAAAAAAGTCTCGAGTTCAAACGAAGAAGAAGAAAAAAGTAAAAAAATTAGCTCCCCGATCAATCTTACACATTAAAACCGTTAGTAAAAATTATTGAAATTATACTAGAAAATCTTAGTTTGGTGTTTATTAATTTCTTTACAAATTTCGACATTTAATTTTATTGGGGTAGCGGACAACCCGTTTTCATAACAGGGGGTCGCCACTCGAAACAGTTTGGGAACCCGTGATCTAGCTAAATGAAACACAAGCCTCGCCCCTCTCCACCCAACTCATAACAAAAATCTCCCATGAGGTGGGCGACGTTTAATTTCTTGTCGTGAATTTATGTGAACTTTGTTTCAAGCGGTAGTTAATCATTTCTATAAATAGTCCGTGACACGTTGTAAACTTTAAGTACTAGAGATTGTTACACTAGCAGATCATCTGATGAGGCGAGGTTTTTTCTCTCCAACTAGATCTAGATCTCATTGTTTGCATCCAGCGTTTTAGTGTAGTTCTGTTGTTGGATAGGGTTACAACTTGTTACAAAAGCACTATTTCACACTGTTAAGGATGAGTCGACCACGATGTAATAGGCAGTGCATGCTGGCTTACGTTGACATTTCAAGTTTCTCTCGGAGGTTTCTATCAATACGTCACGTGTGTAATGCGAAAACAATGGAAAAAAAAACCAACGAATGTAGGTCAGAACGTCCCCGAGCTATCTGATCAGCTGCGGCGATCGTACGAGCGTGACCAATAGATGGCGCCGGTAATCAGGAGAAGATAACTTGTCCACTCTATCTGACGGATAATAAAACGTCCTTGACTCTTGACCTCACGTATTTTCTTGGTTAATTTTTTTTTGCTGTGAAATTAGCCAGTTTTATTCCAGGAATTGACGGTCGAATGAATTGAATTTGTTGAAATAATCGTCTTACTTACAGTTTGACCAACCGTTTTGCATTTGTTACTCAACTTTCTAGTACTGAACCGCCCCCCCCCCCCCCTACACCGCCCCATCGTATTTGACTGCTCCATGTATCCGGCACTGAAGTGAGCTTGCCGTTTTATCGGGGTCAACAGTTTTATTGCATTGTTGTCAGTGGCGACATTCCACAAGGGCCAATCACTGGGTTAGATAAGCGGATGTCTTGTAATAGGGGCAAATAACTCATGTCACCTTGGTAGACTGGGCTTTTATTATCTCAGCTGTTGTTCACAGACTGAACCAGCACCAGCACCCAGCATGAACCACGACCACCATAACATGATGGATAGCACCACGGCCATGGGCCACAATCATGGTGGAATGGAGGCCACAACCATGGACCATAGTGGCCATAACATGGACCATAGTGGCCATAACATGGGTGGCATGGACATGATGCAAGTAGGTTTACTTGTGGCTTGTTTCTTATTTTAGTCAACAATTAGCTGGAAAAATTTAACTCAGTACAAATTTATTCCAATTTTTTAAATTTCAAATATGATTTTTGTAAGTCCTAAGTTTGGTTTCTTAAGATAATCAATATCATTAATGTTTGAACACAAATTGGATCATTCTAACCCCCAACCCCCTGACTTTCCACAGATGTACTTCCATGTAGGCTCTATGGAGTACGTGTTGTTTGAAAGTTGTATGACACAATCAGATGGGGGTATGTTTTTTTCAATGGTTAAAAGAAATCTGTCCTTTAGAAGATAGTATGAACGTTTTCTGATATTTTATTATCCATTTCAGCGATGGTTGGGGCATGTTTTGTTATTTTTTTTGTGGCCATCTTGTATGAAGGCCTGAAATTTGTCAGGGAGTGGCTGCTCCAGCGCTCGTTGGCTTCAGCCTCCTACGTGGACCAGAAGCTGCCAGCCAGCTCCAGCCACGAACACATGGTCATGAGGACACAGAACTCTTCTATTGCGTAAGTTTACAATCCCACCCCACCTGCTACAACTCTTCTATTGCGTAAGTTTACAATCCCACCCCACCTGCTCCAACAAACCCACCATAAAGTCCAACAATCCCACCAAAAAGTCCAACAATCCCACCAAAAGCCTCTATGCTTGTTTGTTGCAGGAACCGCATGTTAAGTCAGGGTCACCTGGTACAGACTGTGCTGCATGTGATCCAAGTGTTTGTCTCCTACTGCCTGATGCTGGTCTTTATGACCTACAATGTCTGGCTCTGTCTGGCTGTGGTGCTGGGTGCTGGGGTTGGCTATTTTTGTTTTGGGTGGAAGCGTGCGGTTGTCGTGGATTCTAATGAGCACTGTCACTAACAAGACAGTTCTCATATAGTCTGACAAAAACTGTTGAATTCTTCTGCTGTTATATATGGCAAGTTATATGATGATAAAAATAAGTCTTTAATTGTAATGAAATGATTCTCTCCTTATAGTGTCTTATTGTAAACACACATTTTATTCATTCATTCTTTTCTTTGCATAATCAAAAATTTTGTATTCAAATGTATTTTTACTAAAGGCAAAAAGTAAAATTATTTAGCATAATAAAATGTGCACCAATTTTTGTCTGCAAGTCAAGGGTAAAAAAGAGCTGAATATTTGATTAAACAGTTTCAAACATTGATATGTGGATTGGATTTTTTCTGCACATGTTGTCTATCAAAATTTTGCCTTTGTAACGTTAACTAGAAACACATGTTAAAATTAAATGTTTACTAATTGATCAGTTGAATTGTTATATATTGCCTTATAATTAGAACAGCTATGTTTGCCACTGCTGGCTTTATAATTGTAGACTTGGCTCTTACTTGACTAGTGGAGTGGATTGATTTCAAATGTGAATCAGATGAAATGTGATAAAGTTTATCACTGTAAAAAAAAAGTTTAAATAAGCCTTGCCCAGTCAGTTGAATAAAAGAACCTAAAACCAGGGGAGGGGGGGGGGGGGGTGCGGACCGCACCGGGTGACACCTGAAGGGGGGGGGGGTGCAAATCGAAAACTTGAAAGTTAGTCCCCGGGAAGGGTTGCTACGCCTCTGGGGGGTGACACCCGACCTCGCTACGCCACTGCCTAGAATTGCATCAATGTCAGAATTTAGCCAGAGCATTGTGGCTTATGTGATGTGTTTACATTGCCCAGCTAGACACGTGGCGCTACCACTTAAAATTTGTTTGCTTTAATTAAATTCAATTTCAATCCCTGCCACTCCAAAATGTAAATGTAATACTCTGAAACCCCAGCCAAAGGGAAATGACTCAGCACTTTCCAATGGTTGGTTCAGAAAAAATTTAATAGCACCATAAATACAAGAAATAAAGTGCATTGTATTAAGCACTGATTGATCCACATGTAAGTTATCTTTCTAAAGTATCATCAATATTTATTGGAGTGCATGGACCTAAATGTTCAACGAAATCACGAAGCTGTACCTCAGTCAAAATTGTTGACTTGTATCGATCACTTTCTTCAATGAATTGTTCATTCGATCTTGGTCTACTAGAACTAGCATTATCTTCATAACTAAAAATACACATTGCCACTTTCAGTAATCTATTGTTTTAGGTACGTAAAATCGCCCGCGACTTGTAATGTGAAAAACAGGTGACTCCTTAAATTTTAATAATTATTTCACATTTTGAGGAGGATTTATGTTTTGAAAAATACAAAAATGTTTCCTTGTTTCATTTATGTACCTGTTTTTAAACAATTGAATTAAAACTTTTCAGTAATAAATGAACGCCAGCGATGTTTCCAACAGATTCAACCATGCTCATTGACTATAGCAGCCATCTTGTTAAAGTTTTATTTTTATAGACTTATAGCGCGAGATTCAGGCGGAAGTCACTCTATTTTACAAATGGCTGCTGTTTATATAGCAAATCTTGCTTGCAGACACTGCTGTTTAAAGTTAATTTCGGGCCTATATTGATATATTTAGCCATTGATTTAGGTTTATTATTCATTTATCTATAATATTTGACACAAACATATCACAATATACTTCTATTACAGCCTTGACAATGAGGTCGGTAACGTTTTCGTACATTAAAAGCCGCGGGCGATTTTATTTACGTACCCAAAACGGTAGATTACCCCACTTTCTTTATCATTTATCAATTCATAATCTACTTCTACATCAATCATAATAATGCTTATCAATATCCTCATCCAAATGAGGGTCCAGCGCCATGATTTATCCAACTTGTTAGAAAATTGAAAGTCATTTTAAAACTACAATACCTCCGGCATGAATCAATATTATAAAATATATTATTATTGTTATTAATTTTGTCAGTAGTCTCCCCTGGCCTCGCAGACGTGAGATTTCATTTTTATGGGCTACAGTTCCGTTGCCATTTATCAACGCCTGAGCCGTCTATTTTGCGGCCGGATTTGGCCGTTGCGGGATTGACGCAGTAGTGGCCGGATACGGCCGTTAATGTTATGGGATTAAATTAGCCGATTGGCATGCATTGAGTATTTCACTGTGAACTGTGGTCAATTATTAATTTTTAACCCATTCCATTGCTAAGATAAAAACATTTTTATGAAAGACGTATGCCCTAAATTATTTCAGCCAAATGACTCAATTATTCATTGTGTTTTTTATAATGGTTTGTCTTAGAATAGCTAGACCTATATTGATTTTCCTTACTTTTTCTTCGACCAGAACAATCTAACTTCTAAATTCTAGTTGATCAGTAAATAAACTCATATTCTCTAATCAGAAAATATGTCAAGCGTTTGGTGTTGAAAATGGATACAATTGTAGGAATCCAATAGAAATAAACAGACATATCATTAGAGCTCAAGCTGACAGAAAATAAATCTTTACAATGCATCAAACTTATAAATCCGCAACATTATGTTTAGATCTCTATAGACGTCATTTTTAAAAAAAAAAAATTAAATTTCTACTCATGCATGTTTTTATAAATGAATATTTCTTGCAAATTTATTACCATCTGTAAATAAAAATTGCTTTATATATACATTCATTTTAAAACAAAATAATTTTTCTCTACATAAGCACGCAGTATTTAAAGCTCTACACATATTGCAGATTTTATGACCTCTTCATTCTGACAAATAAATATATTTACAAACTTGTAAACATTGCTGAGTTTTAGAAATTTATAGTTAGAATTATAAAAATACATTCTATTAATTTCTTATATATATATATATATATATATATATATATATATATATATATATATATATATATATATATATTTACAAATGTATTTATAAATATATAGTTTGAATTTATAAATATAAAGATATATATACAAGTATATACATATAAATATATACATCTATATGCATAAATAAATGCATATGATTTACATCAAACGTTGACACGATATAATGAAGTGTTTATTATTTTGTAATAATTTAGTGAGTCCCAGAAAATATCCGTGTATCTCTTGCATGTTCTGACGTCATCAGCTGGGATCATGTAGGAACAGCAGCGCCAACGTGCCTGGCAGGAAGAGAAAAATTTTAGAAATCTGGACAGACACACACTGTCCTTTCCTTTATTATTTGCTGGTTTAGTTTACTGTCTGCTGGTTTAGTTTAGTTTACTGTCTGCTGGTTTAGTTTACTGTCTGCTGGTTTAGTTTAGTTTACTGTCTGCTGGTTTAGTTTAGTTTACTGTCTGCTGGTTTAGTTTAGTTTACTGTCTGCTGGTTTAGTTTACTGTCTGCTGGTTTAGTTTAGTTTACTGTCTGCTGGTTTAGTTTAGTTTACTGTCTGCTGGTTTAGTTTAGTTTACTGTCTGCTGGTTTAGTTTAGTTTACTGTCTGCTGGTTTAGTTTAGTTTACTGTCTGCTGGTTTAGTTTACTGTCTGCTGGTTTAGTTTAGTTTACTGTCTGCTGGTTTAGTTTAGTTTACTGTCTGCTGGTTTAGTTTAGTTTACTGTCTGCTGGTTTAGTTTAGTTTACTGTCTGCTGGTTTAGTTTAGTTTACTGTCTGCTGGTTTAGTTAACTGTCTGCTGGTTTAGTTTACTGTCTGCTGGTTTAGTTTAGTTTACTGTCTGCTGGTTTAGTTTAGTTTACTGTCTGCTGGTTTAGTTTACTGTCTGCTGGTTTAGTTTACTGTCTGCTGGTTTAGTTTAGTTTACTGTCTGCTGGTTTAGTTTACTGTCTGCTGGTTTAGTTTAGTTTACTGTCTGCTGGTTTAGTTTAGTTTACTGTCTGCTGGTTTAGTTTACTGTCTGCTGGTTTAGTTTAGTTTACTGTCTGCTGGTTTAGTTTAGTTTACTGTCTGCTGGTTTAGTTTACTGTCTGCTGGTTTAGTTTAGTTTACTGTCTGCTGGTTTAGTTTACTGTTTGCTAGTTTAGTTTACTGTCTGCTGGTTTAGTTTAGTTTACTGTCTGCTGGTTTAGTTTAGTTTACTGTCTGCTGGTTTAGTTTACTGTCTGTTAGTTTAGTTTACTGTCTGCTAGTTTAGTTTAGTTTACTGTCTGCTGGTTTAGGCTAGTTTACTGTCTGCTGGTTTAGTTAAGTTTACTGTCTGCTGGTTTAGTTTACTGTCTGCTGGTTTAGTTTAGTTTACTGTCTGCTGGTTTAGTTTAGTTTACTGTCTGCTGGTTTAGTTTAGTTTACTGTCTGCTGGTTTAGTTTAGTTTACTGTCTGCTGGTTTAGTTTAGTTTACTGTCTGCTGGTTTAGTTTAGTTTACTGTCTGATTGTTTAGTTTAGTTTACTGTCTGCTGGTTTAGTTTACTGTCTGCTGGTTTAGTTTACTGTCTGCTGGTTTAGTTTAGTTTACTGTCTGCTGGTTTAGTTTAGTTTACTGTCTGCTGGTTTAGTTTACTGTCTGCTGGTTTAGTTTAGTTTACTGTCTGCTGGTTTAGTTTAGTTTACTGTCTGCTGGTTTAGTTTACTGTCTGCTGGTTTAGTTTAGTTTACTGTCTGCTGGTTTAGTTTACTGTCTGCTGGTTTAGTTTAGTTTACTGTCTGCTGGTTTAGTTTAGTTTACTGTCTGCTGGTTTAGTTTAGTTTACTGTCTGCTGGTTTAGTTTAGTTTACTGTCTGCTGGTTTAGTTTACTGTCTGCTGGTTTAGTTTACTGTCTGCTGGTTAAGTTTACTGTCTGCTGGTTTAGTTTAGTTTACTGTCTGCTGGTTTAGTTTAGTTTACTGTCTGCTGGTTTAGTTTAGTTTACTGTCTGCTGGTTTAGTTTAGTTTACTGTCTGCTGGTTTAGTTTAGTTTACTGTCTGCTGGTTTAGTTTACTGTCTGATTGTTTAGTTTACTGTCTGCTGGTTTAGTTTACTGTCTGCTAGTTTAGTTTAGTTTACTGTCTGCTGGTTTAGTTTAGTTTACTGTCTGCTGGTTTAGTTTAGTTTACTGTCTGCTGGTTTAGTTTAGTTTACTGTCTGCTGGTTTAGTTTAGTTTACTGTCTGCTGGTTTAGTTTAGTTTACTGTCTGCTGGTTTAGTTTAGTTTACTGTCTGCTGGTTTAGTTTACTGTCTGCTGGTTTAGTTTAGTTTACTGTCTGCTGGTTTAGTTTAGTTTACTGTCTGCTGGTTTAGTTTAGTTTACTGTCTGCTGGTTTAGTTTAGTTTACTGTCTGCTGGTTTAGTTTAGTTTACTGTCTGCTGGTTTAGTTAACTGTCTGCTGGTTTAGTTTACTGTCTGCTGGTTTAGTTTAGTTTACTGTCTGCTGGTTTAGTTTAGTTTACTGTCTGCTGGTTTAGTTTACTGTCTGCTGGTTTAGTTTAGTTTACTGTCTGCTGGTTTAGTTTACTGTCTGCTGGTTTAGTTTAGTTTACTGTCTGCTGGTTTAGTTTAGTTTACTGTCTGCTGGTTTAGTTTACTGTCTGCTGGTTTAGTTTAGTTTACTGTCTGCTGGTTTAGTTTAGTTTACTGTCTGCTGGTTTAGTTTACTGTCTGCTGGTTTAGTTTAGTTTACTGTCTGCTGGTTTAGTTTACTGTTTGCTAGTTTAGTTTACTGTCTGCTGGTTTAGTTTAGTTTACTGTCTGCTGGTTTAGTTTAGTTTACTGTCTGCTGGTTTAGTTTACTGTCTGTTAGTTTAGTTTACTGTCTGCTAGTTTAGTTTAGTTTACTGTCTGCTGGTTTAGGCTAGTTTACTGTCTGCTGGTTTAGTTTAGTTTACTGTCTGCTGGTTTAGTTTAGTTTACTGTCTGCTGGTTTAGTTTAGTTTACTGTCTGCTGGTTTAGTTTAGTTTACTGTCTGCTGGTTTAGTTTAGTTTACTGTCTGCTGGTTTAGTTAACTGTCTGCTGGTTTAGTTTACTGTCTGCTGGTTTAGTTTAGTTTACTGTCTGCTGGTTTAGTTTAGTTTACTGTCTGCTGGTTTAGTTTACTGTCTGCTGGTTTAGTTTACTGTCTGCTGGTTTAGTTTAGTTTACTGTCTGCTGGTTTAGTTTACTGTCTGCTGGTTTAGTTTAGTTTACTGTCTGCTGGTTTAGTTTAGTTTACTGTCTGCTGGTTTAGTTTACTGTCTGCTGGTTTAGTTTAGTTTACTGTCTGCTGGTTTAGTTTAGTTTACTGTCTGCTGGTTTAGTTTACTGTCTGCTGGTTTAGTTTAGTTTACTGTCTGCTGGTTTAGTTTACTGTTTGCTAGTTTAGTTTACTGTCTGCTGGTTTAGTTTAGTTTACTGTCTGCTGGTTTAGTTTAGTTTACTGTCTGCTGGTTTAGTTTACTGTCTGTTAGTTTAGTTTACTGTCTGCTAGTTTAGTTTAGTTTACTGTCTGCTGGTTTAGGCTAGTTTACTGTCTGCTGGTTTAGTTAAGTTTACTGTCTGCTGGTTTAGTTTACTGTCTGCTGGTTTAGTTTAGTTTACTGTCTGCTGGTTTAGTTTAGTTTACTGTCTGCTGGTTTAGTTTAGTTTACTGTCTGCTGGTTTAGTTTAGTTTACTGTCTGCTGGTTTAGTTTAGTTTACTGTCTGCTGGTTTAGTTTACTGTCTGATTGTTTAGTTTAGTTTACTGTCTGCTGGTTTAGTTTACTGTCTGCTGGTTTAGTTTAGTTTACTGTCTGCTGGTTTAGTTTAGTTTACTGTCTGCTGGTTTAGTTTACTGTCTGCTGGTTTAGTTTAGTTTACTGTCTGCTGGTTTAGTTTAGTTTACTGTCTGCTGGTTTAGTTTACTGTCTGCTGGTTTAGTTTAGTTTACTGTCTGCTGGTTTAGTTTACTGTCTGCTGGTTTAGTTTAGTTTACTGTCTGCTGGTTTAGTTTAGTTTACTGTCTGCTGGTTTAGTTTAGTTTACTGTCTGCTGGTTTAGTTTAGTTTACTGTCTGCTGGTTTAGTTTACTGTCTGCTGGTTTAGTTTACTGTCTGCTGGTTAAGTTTACTGTCTGCTGGTTTAGTTTAGTTTACTGTCTGCTGGTTTAGTTTAGTTTACTGTCTGCTGGTTTAGTTTAGTTTACTGTCTGCTGGTTTAGTTTAGTTTACTGTCTGCTGGTTTAGTTTAGTTTACTGTCTGCTGGTTTAGTTTACTGTCTGATTGTTTAGTTTACTGTCTGCTGGTTTAGTTTACTGTCTGCTAGTTTAGTTTAGTTTACTGTCTGCTGGTTTAGTTTAGTTTACTGTCTGCTGGTTTAGTTTAGTTTACTGTCTGCTGGTTTAGTTTAGTTTACTGTCTGCTGGTTTAGTTTAGTTTACTGTCTGCTGGTTTAGTTTAGTTTACTGTCTGCTGGTTTAGTTTAGTTTACTGTCTGCTGGTTTAGTTTACTGTCTGCTGGTTTAGTTTAGTTTACTGTCTGCTGGTTTAGTTTAGTTTACTGTCTGCTGGTTTAGTTTAGTTTACTGTCTGCTGGTTTAGTTTAGTTTACTGTCTGCTGGTTTAGTTTAGTTTACTGTCTGCTGGTTTAGTTAACTGTCTGCTGGTTTAGTTTACTGTCTGCTGGTTTAGTTTAGTTTACTGTCTGCTGGTTTAGTTTAGTTTACTGTCTGCTGGTTTAGTTTACTGTCTGCTGGTTTAGTTTACTGTCTGCTGGTTTAGTTTAGTTTACTGTCTGCTGGTTTAGTTTACTGTCTGCTGGTTTAGTTTAGTTTACTGTCTGCTGGTTTAGTTTAGTTTACTGTCTGCTGGTTTAGTTTACTGTCTGCTGGTTTAGTTTAGTTTACTGTCTGCTGGTTTAGTTTAGTTTACTGTCTGCTGGTTTAGTTTACTGTCTGCTGGTTTAGTTTAGTTTACTGTCTGCTGGTTTAGTTTACTGTTTGCTAGTTTAGTTTACTGTCTGCTGGTTTAGTTTAGTTTACTGTCTGCTGGTTTAGTTTAGTTTACTGTCTGCTGGTTTAGTTTACTGTCTGTTAGTTTAGTTTACTGTCTGCTAGTTTAGTTTAGTTTACTGTCTGCTGGTTTAGGCTAGTTTACTGTCTGCTGGTTTAGTTAAGTTTACTGTCTGCTGGTTTAGTTTACTGTCTGCTGGTTTAGTTTAGTTTACTGTCTGCTGGTTTAGTTTAGTTTACTGTCTGCTGGTTTAGTTTAGTTTACTGTCTGCTGGT